TGAAAAACTAGATTTTTCTTTTCTTTTTTTCTGTCCTTTAAGACAAAATCTCTCTGGGTAGCCTGGGCTGCCTGGAATTACTATGTCACCTAGCCCCTTGAGTGATGAGTCACCATGCCTGGCAAAATCACATTTTTCTTATAGAGGACATTTCATTGTACCTGTTTTCACCCATCTATCTCTGTTTTATAGTGGAGTGTTAGGCCATTTATATTTAATGAAATCAGTACACTGGCAGACCCCCATCTTTTCAACTGTTTTTACTTGTCTTCTGTAATCTTGGATCCTTCTACCTCTTTATCTGCCTTCCTGAGTTAATTTAGTAATGAAAATTACTAAATTGAAAAATGCTCCCTTGGCTTAATAAGCACAAAGTGTTTTACGTGGCTGTATAGGGTTTATGGTATAAATATCTAACTTATCTGCCTACTTTCAGATAATATATTACATTATGCACGCCAATTTCTTTTGGTTTTTCATCTTTGTTTTATTGTTGTTGTATATTTTCCTTCTACATAAGATAATAAACATGCACACATTAACTCACAATTATGTTTTTTTTTTGCTTTAGACCATTATTAATCTATAACATGGATCTTAATTGCTAACTCACAATTATGTTTTTTTTTTTTTGCTTTAGACCATTATTAATCTATAACATGGATCTTAATTGGATACCTTTATTCTGTGGTATCTTTTAAAGTAAGGTCTCACTCTCTTGCATTGTTTGGCTTTAAGTCTTCCAAGTGCTGGGATGTGATGTGAGCCACTATACCCAGTGTGGTAGTTTGGATGTAATTGGCCCCCCATAAGCTCATAGGGAGTGGCACTATTAGGAGATGTGACTTTGTTGGAGTAGGTGTAGCCGTGTTGGATGAAGTGTGTCACTGTAGGGATGGGCTTTGAACTCTCATATATGCTCAAGCAACACCAAGTGTCTCAGTTCACTTTCTGTTGCCTTGGATCAAAGATGTAGAATTCTCTGATGGGGGAAGTACTTCTGTGTATGTTTATCTTATTGATTGTTAAATAAAATACTGTTTGGCCAATGAGACAGCAAGTTAGACGAGACTAGGAGTCAAAGAGGATTCTGGGAAATGTAGTAGAGAAGTGGTGATCCAGGCAGGAAGTGACATAGCAAGGAGACTCATAATTAAGCAAAGGAAACAGGAAGGGTTCCCCTTTTCCCCTCTGCTCTTCCTCCAGCGGCACCATGTGAGCCACCGGCAAGAGAGGGTGCCAGCGAAAGGAATCCTCTATAAGATAAGTCTTATAAAATATATAGGTTTATGATAATTAAGACTGAGCTAACTGATTTGAGCTAAGCAGCATTTGAACCTAATACAATTCTCTCTGTGCATTAATTTGGGCCCTAACTCAGGTGGGCAGCTGGCATAAAGCACATGTGGTGGTGGGGCTTGGGCGGCTTTTGGCAGAAAGATTTATCGTAACAATTCTCAACTCCTTTTCCAGCACCATTCTCTGCCTACACACTACCATGTTCCACCATGATGATAATGGACTGAACCTCTCAACTGTAAATGGCCCCAATTAAATGTTTTCCTTTATAAGAGTTGCTGTGATCACCGTAATAGAAACCCTAACTAAGACACACAGTCTAAGAACAAATCTTGAGAACATAAAATGGAACATATCATATGAGGGAAAACTATCTCTCTGGTTTAAGAAATAAAATGCACTATAAACTTAACACCCAATTTCACTATTATACTCCTGTTGGTGATTAGGTTTGAAACAGTAGGACATCAGTTGGCAAATAGTCCACTTCCGTATCTCACTGACACTGGGATTCGAAACCAAATTGCCATGTACAGGCACATTAGCCTGTAGAAGTTTAATAGCCCATTGAGCCAAATGACTCTTTAAGAAATGTTGATCATGAAATGGCATCTTCTATCGTCTAGAGGAAGGTTTGTTCCATGGACTTTAGAGAATATAACCCTATGGTTTTTGTGAGGAGGCCTGAGGCAAGGTTTCCAGAGTTCAGTTTAGTATCATAGTAACAATGTACTGGGATCTACTCTGGGAAACACATGGAGACAAAAGATAAATCCAGATCCTGCCCTTAAGGAGTCCAAGATCCATGCAGCTTATACATGTGACAGGCAAAATTTAGGACAGAGTGAAGTTTGGTAATGATTAAGGCAGGTTAGCAAGCTTCGTCCAACCCCTGGCTGTAGGAAATGCCACTTACAAAGGGCCTCAGCTGTTCTAACAGCCAACATGCAGGGGCCAAGTTGAAGTCACACTCCCAGCCTAGGACAGAGTATGGCAGAGGTCCCAGGCAGTACAGTCCTGGAAAAATCCATATTCCTCAGAAGGAGGAAGCCTTCTCGAACTCTTCTGAGTTTTTACTACACACAACTTTTTCCTCCCTCCCTTTCTCTCTCTTTTCCTCCCTCTCCCTCCCTCCCTCCTTC